CTCCAGTATTTACCACTCAGATCACTTACTTGGCACCAAGCTCACCTTGAGTCTTATGAGTCCTGGGACCTAGGAGTTTGATCACACTGAAGGCAGGGGCTTTTTCTTAGCCTTCTTTGATCTTTCCCCTCACTCCAACCTAAAGAGCCCAAGAAGTTACTTGACCTTCTCTGAAACCCCACAAAACTCTGCACCTGTCTTGTGGCCCTTATCATGACCTACCTTTTATAATACTTATTTGTATGCTTATTTCACTACTCCTACGAAAGGATGAGTTATAAGAGCAATGCAAGTGGCCTCATACACAATAAGGGTTAGATAAATGTTTTGTTAAATCATACTTCTTCGAAACTCCTGAAGTGCCAAACATAGTGCACCTAAGATAGTTATAAATACTGGCTGACATCAGGAACTTCTAGATGATCCACCTTAGTTCTAATGAATATTCTCTACATGGAGTACTGTCAGTTCTAAGATTCTGTCTCCATGTTCCTCCAATATTCTATATTCTAAGGGGCTTTAACAGCGCTGACATTTCTATTCTCTGATGAAGAAGCATGACCCATCACTGGGCTCAGATCAGCATCATTCTAAATTGCAGACTGTTATCTCTCCTTGCTTCAGTGGAATAGTAAAGCCACATCAGGCCACTTGGGAAGAACTAACCCAGACTCACCCCCCATCATAGCTTTCACTGACTGGTATTTTTCAGGGACCTCAGATGGCAAGGCTGGAGAATTAAACATACTATCAGGGAACAGGGAGAAGACACATAACCAGCATAACCGGTGTATGACTGTTGCCCCAGAGATGTCATGGGAGTGACAGTAGCCAATCAAAAAGAGAGACAGGGAGGCAGAAAGGTACAGACTATCACTGGTGATATTTGAGTTTGGGGAATGTTCCGCCTTTGGTGCTGTTCATTACTTAACACATACTTGGGGAGTATTAAATCATACACCACCTCAAGCTCTCTAACTACTAAATTCACTGTCCTGTCTCTCTCTGGCTATGACCTGCACCTGACACTCAAATAAAATACCCTTGATCATGCCTGGAACCAACCTGGCTACACAGCCAAGGAAGCTGCTGATGCTTGTTGGCTGAGTGAGGGGAGGCAAGGGGTGGGAATGCCTTTAGCCTGTCTGTAGTTGGGCCTTCCACTGAGCCAAAGCTTTTTGTTATTTCAACTTGGGGGGGGGAGAGGAAGCAACACAGAAGTTCTCATTTAAAAAAAACAAAACAACAAAACCTAGTGGAAAAGAGCACTGTGTCACCATTCTAGCTTTGTAAGGCTCTATTTCCTCATCTGTAAGATGGGGTCAGCAACTCCTTCGATGCCAAACTCATTGAGTTGTGAGTATCAAATACAAAGTTCAGGATTATCATCATCTTTATTTCAGCCATCATGCTTGACTTTGGGATCTTTAGCCGAGCAAAGATTCTGGGCCAAGAAAACAGCCTGACTTGTCTTTCCTTGGGTAACGAGGTGATCTAACTAAGGGCTAATGTTCACCCAGACTCCCACCACTATCCTCATCTCCTCAGCATGAAAGCAGCTTGAAAGGTAGCAAGGAGCACTGTGAGTATGGGATTGGCTCCTCTTTTGCCAGTTGGATTTCCTCTAAGCCTCAGTTTCTTCATATAAGAAATGGGGGGAAAGTCTCTTCTGTCTTTCTCAGGGATATTTGTAAGGATTAAATAAAAGGGGAAAGTACTCTGAAACACAAGCAGCATCCTCTAAGTACATGGCATTATTATTACCTACAGACTTTCTGTCAAGGCCCAGGGCCCTGTGGGCATCCCACAGTGGAATCAGAGACCAACTTGAACTTAACAGGAAAGCACTAACATGCTCATTGAATTGAATGGACAAGGACTTGGGTTCGAGTCCCAATTATGCTACTTACTAGTTTTGTGACCTTGAGCAAGTTACTCTCACTCTCTAGATCACTAGAGGAGCCTCCATTACCTCATCTGAAAAATGGGGACAATAATCTCCCTGCCCTGACCACCTCAGGGTCCAACATGAAGATCAACACAGAAAAACAGTGCCTAAAGAATAAACTAAAGTATAAAATAAAACACTACAGAAACAAGAGCTTTTATTCTTCATCTTCTTAATATTCCAAGGGAAGCCAATGACTTTCCCCAAGGTCTCAGTTTCCCCCATCTGAAGTACTGCCACAAAAAGTTTGCTGCAAACAACCAGCATCTGCTTCCACAGAAGCATGGCTACTGGACTCTATCCAGCTTTAACTCAATGCTTCAGGCACAGGCAATGAATAGCCTACCTTAGTGCTAAGTCACCAACATGCTGGCCAATCAGAACTGAATAATGAATACCCCCCAAAACAACCCACGAATTAAATTTCCACTGTCCCTGTTGGCTCTTCTTCCTTTCATTAAGCATTCGGAGCTACAGGCCTCATTTATCCATCATCTAATTCACAGGTATTTCTTCCCCTAGGCTCCTGTTACCACAGAGATAGCTTTTAGTAAACACAAAACCAAGCCCCCAGTTCCAATTAAGCAATACCCTAAGCTGGTTTCAGAAGCGTCAGACCTCCAGTTTCATCCTATCCTTGACCCCAGTTCTACTCCACTGTACTCACAGAATCACAAAATTTCAAAGTTGGAAGGAACCTCGGGGGTTATGCTGTCTATCACCAACCTGAACAAGAATCCACCCATCTCTAAAATGACAACATCCCAAAGAAGCAGTCATCTAGCTCCCCTCTGTGGGGAACTCATTACCATTTATATTAGTCTATTCCACTTTTAATGTTAAACCAGAAATTCACAACTTTGTAGGGAAGCCTTTCCCCATATAAAGGTGAAATTTACCTCTCCACAACTTCTAATCACTGGTCCTAGCTCTGCCCTATGGGTGGTAAATTCTATTATCTTTTCCAATTTTGGGTTGGGGTCCCTTGAGGTCTCTCTCCTCTGAAGAAATCTTAACAGTGACAAGAGCAGGGAGCAGGACTTCCCTCTAGTCCCTAATCTAGGCCCAGAGCAGTAACTGGGGGTAAACTGTTCCAGGCCAACCTCTTCCAATCAACCTGCTTGCCAAGAGGAAGTGAATGGACGGGTCCCAGAGGGAGGGCCCCCTGGAGTGGGTGTGGTTCCTTAGGTGGGCTCCACCCAGGCCCTGCTGGGGGAGGGGGTACAGGGAGGGGAGAGAGATCAGAGGAGGCCTGACAAGCACTTTAAGACTTTCCTGTTTTCTACTGCTGTGGATACCGTGCACCCTGCAAGCTGTCAACAGAGAAACAGTTGAAAAAAATAGACAAATAAACAAAACAACTCCCTGTTCAGTAGAGGGGGAGGTCAAACTCCATTATGGATGTCAGCAAGGGGCAACCTCTCTACCACTCCCCACCCTTTCACCCCCAGCTCTCTTCCTGCCACTCCCCTCTCCTTAGTCCTACCTGGAGCCTCAGCTCCATGCTTAGGCCTAAGAAGTTGCAAACCTCTGGTTTAACATCAAAATTTCACAACCACAAAGACATCATGGTGAAGTGAGGAGTGGCTTTCTGCCACTTACAACCTATGTAACTGACATCGACTAAGTAACTTCTTTGGGCCTCAGTTTCTTCATCTGAAAAATGGGGGTAGGGGACTAAGCCAAAATGATCTCTAAGACTTACAGCTTCAAGTCTGACAACCTAGATCTTCATGGGAAAGGTCATAAAAAAGCACAACATTCATACTTCATTATCCTACCTGGTGAATTCCAGTAACCTGATTGGTGGAATAAAATGTTTGGGCACTAATGAAGCAGAAGATCCAGAAATCCTAACTGGAGTACCTCAAACCCACTTCGGCTGAGGAAGAGGATATTCCCAAGTCTCTGAAAATTGAGCTAAGCTGCTCCTGTCCTTTCTCTACTGACTTTATAACCTGCTAGCACTGGGTCAGAGGGAGGGATGGAAGAATGAATGCTGGCTCTATGAGAAGAAGCCAAGGGTCTGTCTGACATCCTTCAAAAACATCTAATGGGTTCTGCAGTAGCTGCCCATGATTGAGGCAAAGGGAGACTGCCAGGCTCCAGTCCCCTCACTCTTGAGTCACTAGGGGCTCAAGGTTCCTCCCACACGGTAATGTCAAAGCATAGAGTCAACAGGACAGAATCAGGGCCACAGTTTAGGAGGCCAAGGGAAACTGGGGAGGGCTAAGTCCCCCCACCAGGGTCAGGATCTAAGAGGTCAAGAATAGAAAAGGAAGGGGTCACCACCACCAGGGTCGGAGCCTTGACTTGAGAGGAGTTAAAAAACAAGGCATAATGACGGGGGAAGGGGGGGGCCCCCGGAAGGGAAAGGAGGGAGGAAGAGAGGTTAGGAAAGGTGGTATTAAGTACCTCCAATACGGTCAGAGTATAGAATGCCAGATGTCAGAGATGTAAGGAACCAAACAACACAGAACACAGAAGCAAGGGCTGGAGCTGGAAGGGCCCACAGAACACAGAACCCAGGAGAGAGGAAGGGCCCTCGGAACACAGAACAAGCTATAAACACTGACTGCAGGAGCTGGAAGAGAACTTGGAGTTCACCTAGTCCAACTCCCTCATATGACAGAGAAGAAAACTGAGGTTCAAGAAACGGTGTCCAGGAGGCAACGGATGGGCTACCAGGACTGATGTGAAGGTTACAAGCCCCAAACAAGTGGGAGCCTGGCAATCCCAAAGGGCCTACGTGCCCCGACAAGGCTGGGGGCAAGGCCCGGGCGTCCCGGCCCAGAGCAGTCTGGCCCCAGGCCCCGGCCCCGGCCCCACCCCCACGCGGCAGGCCTGGGCCCAAGCCTCTGGGGCTGCGCGGATGGTCCCCCTTCCATCGGGTGCCCGGGCCCAGGGGCTGCCTAGCAGGGAGTGGCCTCCTCGTCAGCTGGCCTGGGAGGCCGGGGCCTCCGCCCTGGGGACCCCACCCCTGGCGTCCCCTCCCGCCCCTTCCCCGCGCAGGGGGGGGCGCCCGAAGAGGGGAGGCGCGAGGGGCTCCTACCTCCTTCCCTGGCGGTGGTGGTGGCGGCGGCGGCGGCAGCTCTGCTCGGGCCCGCTCGGGGTGGCAGCGGCTGAGGACGGGGCCGGGGCCGGGGCCGGGCTGGGGCTGGCCCCGACCCCCCGCCCCCCGCTGCCGCCGCCGCCGGCGGCCAATCCCCGCCCAAGCTGAGGGGAGGGCGATGCAAATGAGCCCGGATCTGGGTCCGCCCCCCCACCCCCACCCCGCGCCCCGCGCCAGGCCGCGAAGCCCCGGCCTCGCGTGACAAGCGTGACCCGGGGGGCCCGAGGCCCTCCCCGGGGAGTGCCGGGGGACTGGCCCCCTCCCCCCGAGGCTGGGGAGGAGGTGGGGGGGGCGGCTGAGGACGGTTACACAACCAGGCAGGAGGGGGGGCTGGGAGGGGCCCCGGGGGAGGGGGCAAGGGGGAGGGGGCCGGCCCGCGGCCGCACAGCCGGAAGTCAGGGACCGCCACCGGCCTCTGGTGAGAGGAACTCGGCCTGTGAGCTCCGCCCCCTCCCTTTCCCTTCCCCTTCCCCTTCTCCTCCTTCCTCTCTCCCTGGGACTTGTGACCCGCCGCTTTCCCCGCCCTCTTCGGCTTGTCATTGGCCGCCTGGCGAGTCCAGCCCTATACGCCCATTGGCCTGTTTGCCCGCCGCTCACCGCCCCTCCTCCGCACCGCCCCTTTCCCCGAGCCCCGGTTGGCCAGGCCTTCGGCCGCCCCTGCGGGGTACCCTGGGACTGGTAGTCTGAATAACCCCTTCCACCTGCTGGTGGGAGGCGGCGGAAGAACTACAACACCCAGAGACCCCCCCGGCTCCAATCACCCACCCCCAACACTCCACCTCCTCCCTCCCTTCTTTGCAAAGCCCCCCTCCCTGTTTTTCTACCCCCCCTCTTCCCCCCTCGGCCCCCATGAAGCTTCAGTCCAGCCAACTACAACGTATGCACGCAGCACAGAATAAGCATTTGAGGGGCTACTGCAGGCCCCCCCCACTCCCCCCTAAAAAACATACCAGTCGCAAACTTAACCTGCGTCCCCCTACTAACACTACCACCTCGATGCAAACACCCCTGTCTCTCGCAGACAGCAGCCTCCAAAATGCAGCGAGCGCCCCTCTCCCGAGAAAGGGGCAGAGGAAGGAGCCGAGGAAGGAGCCGGGGTCCTGGCGACACCCTCCCCCCCAAGCCTTCAACTCTCCTTGCGCCTAGACTTTAGAGCAGCACCCCCCCCAGCCGCGCAGCTGCTTATCCCCCACCCCCCCACCCCGCTTCCTTCCCTCCAATAAAACCTTGGGATCAAACTTACGAGTCTCCCTCCCCCCCATCTCCGGGCAAAGACTTTGCTGCTCCCCTTCCCCCAGCTCACGGAGGGAGGGGAGGAGGGGGAGGGCTTGGAGAAGTAGGGGCGATGCACCCCCCCCGGCCGCGGCGCACCCCCCTGCTCTTACCTCGCCGGTCCTGGGAAAAGGAGGAGGACAGGAGAAGCAGGATGAGAGCGGGGGTCCGGCGGGGGAGGGGGCCGGAGAGGGGGAGGGGGCGGCCCTGGCTGCCTCCCCCCGGTCAGTGGGTGCCGGGCCGGGCCGTGCCGTCCCTCGCTGCGCCCGCGCCCTCCCGCTTTCCCTCTCGCGCTCCGGCGGCGCCGCGGCCCCTACTGTAACTGTACGGGGTGTGCGGAGCCCCGTATGATGCTCTCCGCTCCCTTCCTGGTTTCTCCGAGGGCAGAGGGGTCCTCCCTTCTCTTAAAGGTGCCGCAGCTCCGCTCCCGGCCCCCGCGCCTCCCCCCCTTCTCCGTGCCCCCCCCCCGGCGGGGAGGCTGGAACTGGCTCTGCAGGTCCCTCGCCAAGGGCAGGACACCCCCCTCCTGCCACGTCTTAGCCCTCCCGCTTGGCGCCCGGTGGGGCTCCTGGTGCAGCGAGAACCGGGAAGGGAAGGGGAAAAAAAGCGGGGGGGGGGAGTCTGGGCTCTCCCCTCTCCCCACTCCCTCTTGCACCCCTCCTCCTCCCCTCCCCGGCCGCCTCCTCCTCCCTGACCTCCGGCTTCCCTCCATGGCTCGGTTCCATGTTGCCATCTTATCTGCCCCCAGAGCGCGCGGGGGGGAGGGGAGGGGGGACAGATCTGGCTTCAGGGGAGGGGAAGGAGGAGGTGGGGGCGCTCCGGGCCCTGCCGATAAAACAGGCTGTGCAGAAAAGACACGGAGTTAGCGCGTCTCGGCTCGGGGCCCCTTCCAGTCCCCATCTCAACCTTGACATCTAAGGAGAGGGGGGTGCAGCAGAGACCTTCACCCGCCACCCTACCCCCCAAACTGGTCTCCAGCGATTATATAAATTATTTCCCACCTTTGCTTAGTCTGGAGTGGAGAGGGCAGGGGAGGGGGATGCGGCGAGCGGGCCTCGTGGCTTTCCCTTTTCAAAGTTTCCCCCATCCAACTGAACCACTGGTGGGTGGGGTGGGGGAGAAGGGGAGGACCTTTCGAGGCCCCTGGTGCCCTGGGACAGAAACCAAGAACCTCAGTGTTTCTGCTCACCCAAAGACTCAGCAGTTTATCGACTCTACAATATGTCAGAGTTGGAAGAGCCCTTAGTTAGGGACTATCCTATCCGACCCCTAACTTTACAGATCGGGAAACTGAGGAGCAAAGGGAGGACGTTCACTTATTGAAGGTCACAGTGAGTCAAAGGCAGAGACAGGACTCGAAACCAGACCTCATATGTGATGTGGTGGACAGGCACTGGATTTGTTGTAAGAAGTCCTAGAATAGATAGATGGTCAGCAAACTTCCTTAAAGAGCCTAAGAATTGAATTCAAGCTTTGTTTCGGCTACATATGTGACCTTGGGCAAGTCACTTCTCCAGCTCTGGTCCCAAATTGTCTTAACTGTGTAATGAAGGGGGTGGAGGAGATGATCTGTAAGGCACCTCCCGGCTCCAAATAGTATGACCCTGGCTGTCAGTGACATCTGGTACCTTTATTACAGGTGATTTCACCTGCTTCCTTCAGTGGTCAGGGAGGTTGAAGTAGAGGCAGAGGCTCTCACCTCACAATTGAGATTTCCTTCCCCCTCGACATCCTGCCTCTTAAAAAAAAAAAACCCTCACTGTAAACTACTTTCTGCCAGAAAGCACAGGGAACCTTAAGATTAATAGAATTTCTCAGGTGTAAAGGATCTTAGGGGAAAGGCAATAGGTACTTTTAGATTCTTAGAAATAAGGGCATGAGAAATGAGCACCCTTGAAGAAGACATAAGGTAATAGGGTAAGAATGAGAAGCTAAGAAAAGGGAAGATCTTTGCTAGTACTACCGAGTCCCTTCCCCTGGCTGGGCCTCAGTTTCCTCATCTGTAAAATGAAGAGATTGGACTAAATGCTCTCTGTAAAGCACTGTTCAGCCTTAAATTTGAGTCTAACATGCAAAGCAACATGAAGTAATAGAAAGATAGCCATCCTTGGGGCCAAGAAGACTTGGGTCACTTCTGACACATGGTTGCTGGGTGACTCTGGGCCAGTCACCTCAGCTCTCAGGGATCTATGTAGGCAATTCTCTTAGGATTAGAAACAATAGACAAAGAAATTGCAGACCTGCATTGGGAGCCAGAGTTTTCTCGACCAGGAGTTCCCTATGTGAAAGAAATCACAAATCCAGCTCCTGACTCTGTTTATAATATAATAATAATAATAATAATAATAATAATAATAATAATAATAATAATAATAATTTCTACAGTGTTTTAGAGTTTACAAAGTACTTTCTTCAGCCCAGCCCTGTGCAAGTATTGTCATCTCTCTTTTACAAATGGGGAAAATGAGGATCGGGGTAAAGTGACTTGCCTTCAGTAATACAGCTAATAAGTAGGCTTGAACACAGATCTCTGGACCCCATTCTCTTCCTAGAAAAATATAATAATAACAGCTAGCATTTATAGAGCTCCTTAAGGTTCTCAAAGAGCTTTACTGATAGCATCTCATTTAATCTTCACGATAACCATGTGAGGAAAATGTTATTATCCTCATTTTACAGATGAGAAAACTGAGGCTGAGAGTGGTGGAACAACTGTGTCTGCAGTCACACAGTAAATACTTGAGGTAGGGTTTAATAGATTGAATGAATAGGGCATCCTTCCAGCTAACCAAAGTGTGATGGTCTCTTGACCCATTTATTGCCCACACAAGACCGGGTAAGGAAAAGAAACCATGACTTCCTTTTTTTTTTTTTTTGGATAGGGGAAAAAACAAAACAAAAAACAAACCACAGGTCCAGAGGAGGGGATGTAACTTACTCCTAAGAGGTACACCCTGAGATGGCCAGAGCTGGGGAGAAGTCAGCATCCCCAGTGCTATAATCCCTAGGCTCAGGCTCTTATTCTGAGCTATACTTAGAAAGCTGAGGAGCAGAGTCCAGCAAAGGCTCTCTCCACTGTGCTCAGTGGCACCCCCAGGGGCCACTGCCATTTCAGCGTTCCTTGTCTTCTACCAAGACTATGGATTATTCTTTTTTTGGGGGGGGCTAGGCAATGGGGTTAAGTGACTTGCCCAGGGTCACACGGCTAGTGAGTGTTATGTGACTATGGATTATTCCAAACTTGTCCAGCTCCACCTCTGCTGTGGAGAGCCATGCCAGAGTATTGACTGAACTCACTCTCTGCTGTGAAAATCCAAATTTTGGTGGAAATAAAAACGTATTTTCCTCTAGGAACTGTGCTGATCAGGACAGAAGGTCTTATTCCTTTAAAAAAAAAAAGCCTCACGAATAGAAAGAGAAAAATGAGTGAATTGTTCCTCTAATCAGTCAATAAACATTTATTAAGCACCTGCTATGTGTTAGGCACTGTGCTAAGTACTGGGGATACAAAAAGAGGCAAAAAATAGTTCTTGTCCTCAAGGAGCTGACAATCTAATGGAGAGCTTGCAATCCCTTTATGCAGACAATAACCAAAACTATCTTTGGCAGATGGTCTATATGTCTACTCTAGGAAGCACCAATTTTGGCTATGCCTCTTTCAGGCAAGTCCCATTTAGGGCCTCAGTTTGCCCTTCTGTAACACTATTCACCTGGCTTCAAGGTGGCAGGGAGAGAATGAACCAAAAAACATGAGAGGCT